GTAGTAGTTGGAGTAGTAGTAGTAGTTGTAGTAGTAGTAGTAGTAGTAGTAGCAGTAGCAGTAGTAGTAGTAGTAGTAGCAGTTTTAGTAATAGTAGTAGTAATCGTAGTAGTACAGTAGTGGTCGTAGCTTTCGCTATGAGCTCAGCTCAGTGCCCACCATTACGATTTTAGCAGGGATGGCTCTTGCTATTCCTCTGGAATCATGACCTGTTGTTCCTCAGCGCTCGCTATTCGGATTAACAGCGGTATCGCGTTAAATTAGGAATATGCCGCACATCGATCCACATTATCGGATGTGCCACTAGCTTCTGTGCAAATTCAGGCATCAATCGAACCTTCCCCTCACCCTGCCAACATGAAGCGCGCGGCGATTGCAGTCTCGGAATGCACAGCAACGGTTTCACCGACAAGAGCAGTCTGTGGCCAACAGGAACAGCCGGGAACTTGAGCCAAATAATGGAGGTGGTAGAGTGAGAGCTATTCTCACGGCAGGTCCTATGGGCAAGTAGGCTCAGAAACCTCGTAGGATGGCACTTCTTGCTAACTCGCTTCGCGAGGGATCGGCGCTGACCATCCTTTGTCCTCCAAAGTCCCAAGCCAGCATGCCCTGAATTCCAGTTTGATCCGGCTGAGAGCTCACTACTTCCGCTACAGGTTTGAAGAACCAACTCGTATGACTAAGCCGGAGGCAGAAAGCACCTATTTCTCCTACGACTACCACGGCCGACCAGTTCGTCTCCTGCTTCTGATCTCGTCTCGTCTCATCATCAGATTCTTGAATTTGCAATGGGCCTGCTTGGTGAGAAGCGCTGCGTGCCTGGGCAATGGCACATCGCAGCACTGGCAAAGCATGGCTGACATGGCTTGAGGACTTAAAAGCGCTGGCGAGGGCCTTGGGTGCAAGGATCTGGCGAAATCTAAGCTATTGCACGCTGCAGAGAGCAGAGCAGAGGGGGCCAAGCAGGAAGTCCTACACCCAACGCAAACAGCCAAGCTGCTCTTCCTGCTTCTCACGCAGCTTTCGGCCCAGGCACTCCTGCATGCCAAGAGGACTCAGGAATTTTGATTTAAGACTCTAAGTCTGGGTTTGAAGGCTTAGGCGGGGGTGCATATATGGCACTGTAAGCCGTCTGACCTCGCGGGAAAGACTTCGCCACTGGCCACTTCCATTCGAGCTGGAGCATTGACGGGACTGGTGGCAACAACGCATGAAGAGGATAAGGGTGGTGGTGATGACGACGATGATTGTAACGAGACCGATGCTGATGACGACGAAAAAACTTGATACTATGACGACCAACGGCAGTCATCGTCGTAGTCGCAGTTGCAGCAGAATTCGTCTGCACAAGTAGCTCCTCCTGCTGCAGGAACAGTAGCAGAACCAAGAAACATAGGAAGCAGAACACGAGCAGCGACAGTACCGGAGAAACACAACCAACGCAACCAAGCAACGCAACCATCGTGTAAAGTGTAAGCAATCCAACTACAACCAGAGACAGCAACCCAGGCCTCCTTGAAGGCTTCGAAATCCTTCTCCACGTCTGCCTTGATGCAAAAGGATTGGGCGAGGATGGTGGACGCGCCTACTTCAAAGTACGCTTGGGTGAGGGCGGGGCATGGCCTGATTGGATTTGCGAAGAAGAAACGATGTGTTCTGGGACGCAGAAATGCTTTTAAGCTTGCAGGCTCGGGAGATGAGCTCACGGTTGAGAAGCAGAAGGCTATGAAAAGGGAGAGACTTCGGATGTGCGTTCCGGGCACGACGCTTCGGCTTCAAATTGCACGAACACCACTGACTTGGAACACGACTCGCATCTTGGCTGCCAGCTCGTGTTGCGCCTGCACCCAATGCATCCAACCGTTAGTTACGACCGAGCTGCGCGATTGTAGGCTCAGATTTCGGCGCGTGTGCAACTGAACATAGTCTCATGCAGGTACCTGCCGATATTAATAGCTGCCAACCTACACACTCACATAGACCACTGCACTGCAGTCGTGATCGTGCGTCAGGTAAGGAGATGTGCACCTGCCGCGTTTTGAATCTGCTAGTTGATCGACTCTCTCGTGGCATGATTTCCGATCAGCAATCGAAGCAAAAACAAGCGTATAGTAACAAAGCATCACTGCCGTGGCAAAAGCCTGTGAGTCTATATGCGTGGGGAAGGCTGCGCGGTGCACACTGGATTGGCATGGGTCTCAGGTCTGCCACCTTAGGCATCGTGGCAGTACCGGTGCTAGCAGCAGAGGTAGCACTAGCATCTGGTTGTGTCGCCGGCGGCTGATTGCAATGGTACATGTAATGGACAACGGCAATACTCAGCTAGTAGCAACAGCCGCGGCAGCAGCGCATGAGGAACTTGTGCAACCGGATCCTCCTCCTCATTCGCATCGTGGTCGCCGTCGTCGTTGTGGCAGTGGCAGTGGAAGTGACAGCGGCAGCGACAGCGGTGGTCGCAGCAGCAGCAGCAGGAGTAGGAGTAGGAGCAGTAGTAGTAGCAGCAGCAGGAG